GCAATGCATTTAAATAAAATATTAATTTGGCAGCATCATAGAAATCCTTTCTGCTTTCCATATCTTTCTGGCATTATTGCAGTTTTTCCTCATTTTATATCAATAATGAGCAATGGTGGTGCATTTGTTAGAATGCAGTATTGCGGCAAACTTTGCTCACAGCCTGTATTTTGATCCTGATGGGGTTCAAGGTTGACTTATCCTTCCCAGGTTCATAAAATAAGGACCCAGACTGCTGGGGGCAATATGCTGACATACTAAACTGTTCCGAGAGTGCTATAAAATACTATGGAGTGGTATATAAGTCAAACTACTTTTGCTACATCAATGATTTTGAACTAGTGTGTTTCATTTTAATTTTAGTTTTGTCTCATCTCAACAGGCAAATGCATCTTCTGTATAGGGATCACCCTAGTTTTGTATAAGTATTTAATATGGCTGATTCTGCATTGCTTCAAGCCTTAAACAAACTGACACTATAGCAAACTCTGTTTCTCATTGAGCACTATATTTATACATCTCATCTCCTGCACTGAAAGGATAGAATATGAAATCTGATTTAGGAATAATGAAGCAGATGGTTGGATGATTTTTTTTAATGTTATAAAACTTACGCATCAAATGCCAGAAATTTAACTTTACTGATGCTTTTGTAGGTTTTCATAACCTACAATCCCAAGCCTACTGCATACATTTATTTCAGTATTTTTCAGATACAGCATACAAGAAAGCATGACATCACTGGAGTTTTATCTGATACTGGAAGTGGGTTACATATGTACTAAGGGTACACTTTACATTCAATCACAGATAGAATTCTGAGAGTAATAATTCTGAATAATTCAGAACACACAGGATAGAACAGATGGATCTGAACTCAATCCATTCTAGATCAAGATTTTTCCAAAGTTCTGGTCTTGACCTGTTTCATTATCTATATAAAAGTAATGACTTCATTTTTATAGTATTTTGTTGTATATAGGTTTTGTACAGGTTTATCCTTTTAACATTGTAAGCATCCCAGTTATTCCATGGTAAGGTGGGCAGCCAATAAATTTAATAAGTAATACATAATAATAATAAATAATAATAAAAATAATAAAAAATACCATAAAGGTGGAAAAAGCGAGAAGTATTGAATTCAGGGACTAAATTGTCTGTCCTCAAAAGAGAATTATGCTTAAAATCAGACTTCACTTTATGAACAGATCCTCAAAAAGATATTTTTAGTTTTTAATATTCATTGGTGCACAGTCTCTGTCCTAAACAATTGTATGATAAAGCTATGTAAACTGTGATAATTAGTTGACTAGCATAATGGCTGTTTTATTTCATGAAAAAGAACAGTGAGTTAATCTCTTATTGTTTGTCTCAAACAGCTCTACCATACTGAGAAATAGTGTAATAATTTTATGAGCTATTTTTCCCTCTGAGTCATGCTAAATGTAACATAGGTATACTTCACAATCGTATTATATTTTATCCCAACTTTTTTTAAAAATGTGCTTTTCTCTTTGTGCTTTAACTTGTACATCAAATTGGGTCTCAGTTCCATGTTGGTGACATACAAAATAGTTATAACCATTTGTATTTCTAAATGCTATTTAGAACTCTGGAAAAAAATATGTCACTTTTCTGCCAACTTGCTGCTTGGGAAAGATGTTGATGGGTTGTAAAAAAATTAACGTTTCAGTTATGCCATAACTGACATCCTATAGACAACAAATTAGCTTCCACTAGAAAGACTGCAACTCCCTGAATATTACCAATATATATTACATACATACATACATACATACATACATACATACATACATACATAATATGTATACCAATAAAACATTCAAAATTAATCCATTAGCTAATAAGGGGCCTTATTCATGGAAATGAATTCTTTAGAGAATTATATTGATTTAATATCTTTGTCCATTAGCATCCTAAGTGAAAACTCAATATTGGCTTCATATTTTTTCTTATCCATAAAACTAAAACTATTGCAATAAAATCCAATGAGAAAAGATATGTTATATTTTAAATTATTTTAATTTAAATTAAATTTATTTTAAAAAATATAGAAACTTTTAATTTAATTTTAAGAATTTTGAATTCTTTCTTAGCCAATGACAATTAAAGAATGTGTTGCCATATAATCATCTTGTGGGCATATATATACATCTAAAAAGCAGAGATTGTTATTGAATAAAATAATAATGAGCCATGGTGGTGCAGTGGTTAGAATACAGTACTGCAAGCTACTTCTGCTGATTGCAGGCTGCAATTTGGTAGTTCAATTCTCACCGGCTCAAGATTGACTCATCCTTCCATCTGTCCGAGGTGAGTAAAATAAGGCCCAGATTGTTGGGTGCAATATGCTGTCTTTGTCAACTGCTTAGAGAAGGCTTTAAAGCACTGTGAAGAGGTATATAAGTCTAAATGCTCTTGCTCTTGTTATAATGAAGCATCTTCTTAAAATGATGCCTTTACAAGAAAAATCCCAGCAGAAACTTTCTTGTGTTCTTTTAATGCAAAATTTTCCTATTAATATCAATGCCATACTGAGAGTACATTAACTGCGATATTAAGCAAGAATTCCCAAGCAAGAAAATGCTTTAGAATATCACATTAAAATCTACAGGATTTACTTCAGAGGAAACCTTGAAAACAAAGGCCTATTGGATGATACTAAGGCACTTAAGAATAAGAACATACATGTGTTCAGTGTCTATGCATGGTATCTATACTAGTTCAGTACTAAGTTATAGTATAAGTTATAGACACATCTGACTATTTACTTTCCCAGCTTTGAAGCCAGATTGTAAAATGTCATTCTACTGCATATTGCAAATTGCACTCTTTCGACAAATGGTCAAGAAAATTGTTGTGATTTGGAGTGAGGTTGGTTTTGCTGAGCATACAGCACAAAGAATATTTTCATATGAATGAGAATGGAGAAATGGGTAGGCAGCACAAATAATGAACGACATGCTTGAAAGAGCTGTCAGAGGAGAAAAGAAGCTGCTGCCATTCCTTCAAAGAAGAAAAGTGTGCTCTCATTATCTTGCTCTCATTGGCATGTACATGTATAGCAGTATTTCCAGAGATCGTGATCATAATCTGGGAGTCTATTCATATCTGGAGATTGTCCAGGATGGGAATTTCTGGTATAGAGTGTTTATCTCAGAAAGCTTCCCTAAAGGCTGTCCAAACTAATAGACACCCATGAAAATTGGGATCATTAATTACTAGAGACCTTAGAACTGAAAGAAGTGTCTTCACCTTCTGGATATGATGAAAAAAAGGAGGAGAATAAGCCTTAGCCTCATATAAATATGTTCCTTGAAGGAAGAGCCATTGAACTCCACCTCTCTTTTCCTGTGGGAATTACTGTGTTCTTTTATTTACTTATGCAGATGAGTGGACCTGTGGACTTGTATGTACTAATTTGTGTGAAAAGTGATTGTGAGTATATGCAAAGAAATGATTAGATAATTTTACAAATACTTAATTTTCATCAGTAGGCATATAATCAATATAACAATTTCCTCCTGGCTCTGCTCTTTTTTGGGGGGGAGGGGGTGGCTTGACCAACACATATGTAAGCATACATTTATAGAGGTGAGAGGAGGTCTAAGAAGCTGCAATGGCTGAAGTGGTTAGAATGCTGGGGCAAAAACAATTAAGGCGAACCTGCGCATAGCCTGGATTGATGAAAGGAAGCCTATATCTTAATGCCAACACATGAATCTATGAAGTCAACACAAGATGGACTTTCTTCAATAACTCAATGGAATTGTGAAAGACAACACTGCAAATCAACTCAAGATAGCCCACACAAATGGCCATCAAGTGTGGACTATACCAACTATCTCCACTGCTGTTCTGCATGGGCTTGAACCCCTTAAGCCTTGGAGTTCTACACAGGTTCTACACAGGGTTCTACACAGTATCTTATCTGTTCCTCACATTGTGCCTTTCTGGACAGAGAGTTCTGATGTTATTACTGGGGTTTGTTGGAGATACAGGTCACAGCCCTAAGAACACTTTGTCCTTTTCCCCACATATCCTCTCTAATTTCTCTTCAGGTCCTGGTACATCTTCAAATTATAATTCTTCTTGATATTGCTGTCACTTGGCATTGCTACATGTATCATCACCATGAGAATCCAAAATTGAGGAAAACACATATCACTCATAGTGGTGAGGACTATTAATTTTTAAAATTAATTTATGCACTGCTAAATAAACCATGTGCATATAACTAGACCATGTGCATGTATCTCAGAGCCTGGTATCTAAATTACTGATTTCAATGGACATTGGAAACTCTGGCTGACAAAGAAGGAACATGGGACGTCTGTAAGATTTTTATGTCAATTTATAAACCTTTCCACTCTGATTTTCCTTTTTATCTGTGGGAGATGTCTTTTGTCTCTTCCCTTCAACTTTGCTTTCAATAGAACGATACTTTTTTCATTTTTTATCAGTCCCATTAGCAGTAACACAACTGCTAACACAATAAAACATTTCAAAATTCTACATTTAACAAAAGGGCATTCACTGAAAATCAAAAACATTAGACATTAACGTTGAAATATTTACCTACAAAAGTAACATTTTGTTTTTTAATTCATAGTGATTTAAACAGCACAGAACTATCCAAAGAGGAATATCAGAACGATGAAGTACAGGTAGTCCTTGGCTTATGACCACAATTGAGCCCAACATTTCTGTTGTTAAATGAGATATTTGTTAAGTCAACTTTGCCCCATTTCATGACCTTTCTTGCCACAGTTGTTAAGTAAATCACTGCAGTTTATAAGTTAATAACATGGTTAATAAGTGAATCTGGCTTCCCCATAGATTTTACTTGTCAAAAGGTTGCAAAAGATGATCCCATGACCTTGGGGCACAACAATGGTCATAAGTATGTACCAATTACCAAGTATATGAATTTTGATCATATGATCATGAGGCTGCTACAAAGGTCATAAGTATGAAAAATGATCATAAGTCACTTTTTTCAGTTCTGTTGTAACTTTGAAAGGTTATAAATGAACTGTTGTAAATCGAGGACTAACTGTATAAATTTATCCATTTAAAGACAGTATCACTTATCAGCCAATTATCCCTGATGATCTCTGAAGAAAGATGATCACCAACCTAAACTGTTGAAATATGCAAATGCACAATTAATCACTGAATTACAAATATAGAGAAAGTTCCCATAGATAAGAGAGATAAACACCTTTCACAAAATAATGATTGCAAACACATTTAAGGTACTGATTGAGAATACACAAGCTAGGTAATCTTCCCTTTGCATATTAATTGATACCTGATTATGTATGGATGTGTAACATTATATATGCTATATAAATAAAAAACCTATATATATATATATTTTATAAATAAGTATTACATAAATTTAATTCCATTATCCATTCTTTGGACTATAGTGAACCACAAGAAATCATACCCCGCAAGAAAACTTTGATAAAACCCTAAAGAAATTAATGTTTGATTTGTTTACTATAAGCCTTGAAAAACATGTAATTAAACCTATTTCACGCATTTATATTGAAATGGAATTAATATTAATATCAAATATTAAAACACAGAAATATACTTATTTGTGAAGATTTCAAGTTTCTTGCCAAGCTACTCCACATTAGGACAAACTTTTATGTTATAAATATCAGTGTCAAAATGTACTGCTTACAAAATATGTATGAATTATTTTTCTGTTATTATTTTTTGTAACTGAGAGCTACAAATTAAGTGTTAACTCCATTTGGAATATAGCAAAATCTAATAATAATTTTAGATTATTGTATTAGATTATTGAATTATTACAATTATACAAATAAATTAAATAAATAAATTAACTTTAAAAAATCAAATTAGATTTTGCTAATGGAGGCATTTGCAAGATTAGAGGTTGGTAATCAACCACTTTCTCTTAAAACATTTGGGGCACTACAACAGAGCAGCAAGGATAACCTTAGCTTCAGCTATGCTATGTTTATAATACTCCAACACTATAATTATAAAATATGTATTTAAAGGGACAAATACAATACATACCCTGATCTAAAATCTCCTCCTCTTCTCTTTTTGGCTGCTGTATTATCATACCCATGCCTTCATTTTTGATTTCTAAAAAAAAATGAAAGAAATTTCACCAAGAAATTTCACATTACAAATATGAAATAAACTAAATAATTTCATGGTAATACTTATTCTTCTATCCAATGACATTTATATTGATATTCAACCACCATGAGTTGAATCTAGATATAATCAAGCAGGCAAAAGGATCACAAAACCTGTCCCACTCCCCCAAAAAACCTTGCCTGAAAAAATATTGGCAAAAATTAGGCCTACTGGATTTAAGCTAAAAATTTGGAAAACCACTAAATGGAAGCAATAGTTGAGTTTGAATTTATGCCAGTTTTACAGGGAGCCTTCCCTTTCTCTTTATATAAGAGCCTGTACAGTTCAACCATGTAATGACCCAGGGTGTGGCACATAAGCAACAAAGTCACAAAAGAAGGTAAAATCCGTTTAATACCTCCAACTTGGCCCCCAATGTCCAGTTATCATCAGCTGGAGAAAAAACTCTCCCAAGAACAGTTTTTAAAGGGAAGAAATTCAGTCTAAACCCAAAATACATATAAATTATAAATAAAAACCAACACAAACCACGCTGTAGCAATTAACGAGACAGGGCAGGATAAGGAATTGCAGACTTCAAAAGATAACGAAACCCATATTGCTCCCTTATTTGTTCTTCCCTGTGTGCCCTAGAATGAAGAGGGGGTGGGCCTCTTCATTCTCAATGCCCAGCCAGACTGTGCCCTTCCCCAGTTTCCTCCACAGCTACCAGAGCCACACTCCCACTCCCTGTCAGCTACTCGACTTCCCCCTCAGAATCAGATTCCAACAGGGGCATGACAAACCATTTCTTGACCGTAGTCACACAATTTGGGATTTCTGGAGATGTCACTATCGGGAAAAGAAATAAGGAAATGCTTTTTCTGGCTAATCCATATACACCTACGTTTAGGTTGAATCCATAAGAAATAGAGCAACTATTAATTTCTGGAAGATAATTATTACATTTAGGGATTCAATTTAATTAACTAAAATATACTATTCATAATTGATTTATAAGTATCTGTAACTTGGCTCATTCCTGTCCATAAGTGATTATGCTACTTATTCTTTAATGATAACTATATGCGAGAATTCAGGCTCACAATGGTTCTTCAATTGAAAGAACACTATGATGTATCAAATTCTTATCAAATAAATTCCTACAGAAAAGGCAGATATACTAGTCAAGGAATATTTTCTCACAGAAATAAGATTAAATATAAAAAGTAGAAAACATCTTCTTTTGGGTTACAATTATTTTGACTTTCACAAGAAATTATTACGATAGTATCACATGTCTAGAATGTAGATTGTACTCTGGATGATATTTTGGTCTAGTTAATTTTATAACCAGATGATATGAAATTGTTTAGAGTATGGAAATGTAATCATTGTTGCCCTACTCTATCCTGAAGTATCACCTGATGTTTAAAGGCATTAATCTCACTTTAGATGTGGCATTACTGTAATAGTTTTTCTTCTGGAAAGATTATGAATACTATAGAATGGAATAATAACTTTGTTGTCACTTTGAAAGTACACTAATTGGCATACATTAACATGAAATTTCATTGTATATAGCTCTCAAAGGTTCACCATCTCCAATATGTACTACATATAACATAAACGTGATGAAATAAATAAATACATACAAAATTATGTATAAAGCCACATATATTATATGACCTATTGGTTATTTAATCTCTACTTCAGTTCCTTAAAATTATGATTTATTTAAATAGGCCTAGATTAAAAATACCTTTCAATCCTTACTGCACATTATCTTAAAACTGGAAATTTGGCCCAGTTTCAATATAACTAATTTAAGAGAGTTTAATCAGAGAACTGCTTTTTCCAAGACATTTATGTTCAACACAGAAGAAAGGGGAAAGAGAAATATTGGATATGTTATAATCAAGCAGGTTGATTTCTATAAGATTAAACTGTATCTTATCTACATATTCAAGTGCATTTACTAGTAAAACAGAATATAAGCAAGCTTCATTTAAATTGAATCTCTGCATTATTTTTAATTTTTATTTCACTTTTTCATCCAATCTGGATTAATTTAATTAATTAATTAATTAAATTAACACAAAATATAAGAAAAGGATAAAGGAACAGAATTAAAATTCAATCAATAAACATTAATACTCTTTTTAATTTTACATAGAATTAGACATATTCTAATAATAGATTCTGATTTGAATGTGGTACAATTATTTATATTTATTTATTTTGCATATAATAAGATTTAGAACAAAGTAATATGACAACTAACTCTTAAACTATTAAATACTACATAATGCCATATCAGTTGAATGTACTGTTGACTACCTGGAAGGTTGTGTTGGATTTTTTTGTACATTTTTGGGGGCTGCATAACTAAATATCAGCATGTTTACATAGATATCGCAATCACCTTGGTTCACTACCTCACAAATACTCTATATGCTCAGCTATATCATTCTTTCCCACAGTGGTATTAGCAAAGGAATAAATATTTTTACCTTCATTATGTCCATGGGCCATCATAGTCATATCAGGTTTGACTGGAATAGGGATATTTGCTTCTTGAGGTATGCTTTTGAATATCTCTGGCTTAATGTTCTGTGTACAGATCATGGATGAAACTGCATATTTGGCTTCCATATAATACATAATATAGAAATTGCACATTTCATCCCTGGCTGTGCCCCTTCATCAAAATATGAGAAGAGAGAAAACATAAAATATAAATTTTAGCTAGAGAAGAAACACACTTATAAAGATTAATATAAAATGGAGAAGAGGAAAGGACATCTTCCAATTACAAAGTCAGATAACACTATTCTTTAAAAATATTTCACATTAAACATGCATGGGGCTCTTGAAATAAAAGCTATTATCTCAACTGTTTACTTAGCATTTATTAAGAACATTGTTTTACATAGTTTTATGAGGTATATTAAACCTTAGTAGACATTCCTAGCACCTTCAGTCATCAAAAGTTTTTTCCACTGACAGATTCTTAGTTATCACTCAATTCTTTTAAGGCCATGTCTGCTTAATTGTGGCTCCAATACAATTCATTTTTGTTTAATTTTTGTACACATATTTCACAAGCTTCCATCAAAATTCATCCAGCAGCGCAGATTTCAATCAAGATCACTTATATGGAATGCAACAGTATAAACTATTTATTCTTTCCTGAAGATTTCTCCTCCACCATCCCACCACCCATCCAGATGATATATTCCATTTACACAAGCATTAATAATTTACTCTTTTAATTTAGGGCTCTTCTATTTAATGCATGCCAGATTCATTGTATTGCCTCTCCCTTGTTCTGCAAGGCCAGAAGTATAGATCCAAGTTAAAAAAAAAAACTAGTTTCATTATGTTATTATGGGACACTAATTGTAGCATCTTTTATTTAGATTCAGTGATGCTATAATAGTGATGCTGCAATTTCCCCTCAAGCTTAAATTGCAAGCTTTTTCCTTTTCTTTTAAAGAATTAATGCAAAAGAAAATTAATGAATACAGTAGCAGTGTTTTCAACATGAAGAATCCATTTATTTATTCATTACAAGCATTTCCATGCCACCCAGCTCAAAACATACACCTGACAGTTTACACAAAATATTAAATATAAAAGCCAAATGAAATTCAAAGCAAATACAAATTAGTGCCCATCCAAGTAATAGTCAACCACTAACCCACAAATGACAGCTCCAACAAAATTGTCTGCACTAGACATAGCTTGCAGAAAGCTAGTAGAGAGGATGCCAAGTGCACCTCTGGGAACAAGGGATTCTGTAATGTCTTCACAGACAAAAGAGGAGGATTACTTAGGATTGTGTTGATTGTTATTCCGAGACAGAAGCATGTTATTCCTCTGCCTGTCCAGACATAGCAAATTCCATCTAGAAAAGACAGTCCTTAAGGAACACCAGGCCATAAACATCAGTCAAACTTGTAATCTTAAATTGGAACTTGAGATAACCTTTACAGCAGTCAGATAATAGATATATATTTACATGGCAGCACTCACTAATCACTTCAGTTGCCTCATTTTGCACTAATTGTAATTTCCAAAATAGTTGCATGTGGAAAGCGTTACAGTAATTCTAAGTGAGTAAGTAATAAGAGTGTTGCTAGACTATCTTGTTCCAAATGAGGCAAAAATCAGTTTTATCAATTTCAGCTGGGAAAAGACTATCAAGAGCAAAATTTGCACCTGCTCTTACTATTTTATGGAGAACATAAGAGTAGCCTGATTGGATTATGCCTAAATTATCTAGCATTCTGTTTCAAACAGCACAGTCCAAATGCACCTAGAAGCAAACAGGAGATCAAGGCAGCTGTTCTCTCCCATTGTTGCTCATGGGTATCTAATAAGTGAAGCCAAATCACATCTCTGTATTTGAAGGCAGCATTCAGTAATCAGCACTAGTAGGAATTTATCTAATCTCCTTTTCTTCCAGGTTGATTACATACCATTGAAGAAACTTTTCTTATTAATTTTAAAACTTCTATTAGTCACTAGGTAATTTCTAATTCTTGTCCGTATTGCCAGTGATGGAGAAACATGTTCTTTGTTCAATTTACCATGCATAGTTCTATAAATCAGAAACATTTCTAAGGTTTTTTTTTGCCAATGTAAGCCCAAACCATTGCTTCCTATGCTTACATGGAAGGTGTTCATGCCCTTTGATCAACTGCTTTTTCGTTGTTCTCTTGTGTATGTTTTTCAGTCCCATGATATCTTTTCTTGAGATATAATGGTCAGAACTGTACCCAAGATACTAGATGTGGCCTAATGTTTCATAGGGATATTAAAATATTAGCTTACATTATGTATTTTCTACTGATCTTTATCAAGGAAGTTGTCTTCTTTACAAATTCTGCACATCGTGTAAATTATTTCATTTACTCCAACATTCTTGGTTGATCACTGGCAATTCAATCCTTGTTATTTGATTACAGAAATATAAATTCGTAGCCCTAGTGTGGGTCACTTTGTACTTCTTAATATTGAACTGCACCTGCTTCTAATGGCCTAGTCACCAAGATTAGAGAGAAGCAATTCAGTCTAATTCTTCACTCCTTAAATTTTTTTTATCTCCTCAATATTAAAAACTGAGAGTTGGAAACTGTATAAATTGAATTAATTAAACAAAGAAACAAACTTTTGCAACTCACAGGGTATATTAGATTAATTTGTATATCAGCATGTTGAATAGCACTGGACCTGAAACAAATCCTAGTGATGCTTACTTCTAATCTCTTTCCATTGTGAAAACTGCCAATTTATTCTTATTCTTTTTTTTCTTTTGTTCGATCTGTTACTGATTGCTCAGCTGGCCCAAGAGTCTTTGATGAGGAAATTTATGAAAAGCTTCTGGAAAGTGTAAATATACAATGTCAGTGACCTTATCTAGATCTAACAATAAAGCAGTTGTGAAACAAGAATGTTTGTGAACAAACATAAACTCTGTCTTATTGGGATTGGGCTGAAGCTTGTTTCTACCTCTCTACTCCTTCATAAAGATATTAGGCCTAGATTCCCACAGCTCCTCTGACTCAGCTTCACCTTGGATATAACTGTATGCTATTTCACTCAGGAGTGGTGAAGTAGCATACAATTATATCTTACACAAACTAGTGATGATTTCTCCCAGCAGATTTATATAGCTGTTGAAAAGCAAAGCTGAATATTTTATCCATTAATATGACCATTCCTTATTTATTACCTTATTTATTACTTCCATTTATTACTGCTTAAGTGATAGATAAGGAGACTGATTAGAAGTGTCTACTAAGTTAGGTAGCTTTGAAGAAGCAGGATAACAAGAGAATTGAGTCTTTTGAACTTTGACATTGGAAAATATTCCTGACTATAGACCAGGGATGTCAAACTTGCATTGTCACAACATTGTCACATGATGTATCGCGACTCCCCCCCCTCTGCTAAACTGGGCGTCGGTGTGGTCAGTGTGTGACTCATCTGGCCTGCGGGCTGTGAGTTTGATACCCCTGCTATAGATAATCAAGAAAACAAACCAATGAATCACTAAATGACTCAATCCAAAGCTCTCGCTTAAGGCTTTAATGACAAATTCAAATTATGATATATTGGACATAGTATACAAAGATGTAGCTTCTTAAAGAAGGTTCTAATATTGGGAAAGATGAAAGGAAAAAGGACAGGATGACCAGCAGTATCCTAGATGAAGTCAGTTACCAATGGAGGCATTGTTGGAAGATCTGAAAGGCCAGATTAGGAACAAATCATTCTGGAGAAAATCTTTGTGGTTGCTAGGAGCCAGCATTGATTCAATGCCACATAATCAATGAATGCAAACTAAGGTAGAGTGTAACCACTATAAAAGGTATCTCCAACCTTCAATCCCTATAGGCGATCCAGTACTATGGTTGAAATATTGAAAGAGGTCTAAAATGATTGCTCGGTCCTGAAAATATTATCCACTAGAACAGCTAATACTATTTCTATTCTGTGCTCAGGCCCGAACTCAAACTGAAAAAGATCATATAATTTGTTTCATAAGGAACATTGTTTCTTAAACAGGAATCAAAAGAATATCAAAACATTTTTCTTCAGAAATAAAAAAGTATTCCTGTATTTAACATTTGCTTCAAGAAGTTTATACTGATAATGCATTCATTTTGAGATAATTTTGTTAAGGGGGCTCAGTGGAAAGAAAAGATGGGTGAAAACCAGAAAGATATAGAAGAGGGAGCGAAGACCAGTGAAAAGCTTTATCTATCTCTCCCCCCATCAATTAGTTTTTGCAATCAAATCAGTAGCCTACACTAATAGAATGATGCGGGGGTGGACTATGTGCAGCTTCCAAAGACATCAGTGCTGACTCTTATTCTGTGGCATCATGCAGCATTCATTTATTCACCATAGCAACAATAATGACATCTGTCAGGAAGTGAATGAGACCTTCCCAAAAGAGAATTGGTATCCAGCCTTTTTAAAATATGGAACTGTTCCAGAAAGCTGCTTTGGCTCAGCGAGATTAGTGTTAGCCTCCTTTTTAAATTCATTTCCTCTCCTTCCAGTTGATTTAGAGAGCTGTCAGAAAACTGCCACCTCTTTAAAACATAAATAAAACACTGAAGTGTAATTGAGGAATAAAACTAACTTTCCTACATGTATTAACAATATCCAAACATTGTCAATATTTTTAACATAGCCCATTTGCTATCCTTGGAAGATAAAGAAGTGGGCTATTTGTTATAACTTTAGTTATTAATGAGAAACAAGATATCAGTGGCACACAAAATGGCTTTTTTATTTGCTGAAAAATAATGACCAATTAGACATTTGTTTGCTCTACAAATATGGATGGGAAATCTTTTTCAACCAAGTGGTTGTTTTTTGAAAGTAACTTTTCAAAAACCATGTGTCGATTGTTGAGAACAGATGGGAAAAGAAGAGCTGGACATGAGAAGTCCTGCCACCCAAATATGGTGTCTCCCAAATGTTTGTGAGAATTATTGATGGATGAAGAACTGTTGCAGAATATTAGGTCTGATTGAATTATTGTTTAGGTAACTGTTTAGCTTCTTAGCTACCATTGTATAACGCTTTTTATCTCATCTATCTGTCAATGTGTCTCCTTACTTTCACACTAATACTGTATTTGCCTATCTTCCACAGCAGTTTGTTTGTTTTTTTCCTACCCAACTCAAACAAAGGGACTCTGGGCAGTGTACCAAAGTCAACTACAAGTACAAACCCCAAAGAAAACCCCAATGAAAGATAATACATTAAAAGTCAACTCATACCACAAAATCACCACTAAACTAAATATCCAACAACTATTCATCAAGACCAAAGACCTGGAAAAAGAACCAGGATGTCACTACCCTTCTAAAGATCTGCAAGTTCAGGACCAACTATATATTTGTAGGTAAATTGCATAAGCTACTATCATGCCTCCAATGTCCCATAAGGTAGCATTTTGTCAGTGAAAAAACTTGGGAGTATGTTGTCGTTGTGTCTATCCATCCCTATCCTCGAGATGGATAGATACTGAGAGAGCAGGGGGAGTTCTGCAAATAACTCCTTTTTATGTCTATTTATTTAAAAGATTTGTTTGACTATCCATTTTATATACATAATAACTCTGGGAAACTCACAGCCTGGCAATAAAATTTAAAAATAAACAATAATACCATAAACAAAAATGTCTCACAGGGTGTGACAGAATCTGGTATAGAGTCACTAGAGGGAAGGAAGTCTTTCAGGAGGAGCTAAGAGCAAATCAGCCTGGAATTCTTGCTATGTAGGAACAGGTGCAGAGTGGACCCTCCTTTAGGGTATATTTAGTTTTAGTGCTGCAAGATTCCTTCTATAGGTGAAAGACAATCAAGAAACTACTCTGAGTAGAGGAAGAAGGCGGAGCCTCCTCACCGACGGACAGTAGATCGCAACCCTCTGCGGTTATCGTTCGTGCTCTTTCGTCGGAGAGCCACAATCATCTTGATTAGGGGCTGAAACTGCTTTGGAGGGGCAGCGGAGTAAGATTGTGGGGAGCCACATCTCCCCCCCCCCCGGGCTTGGCTTTTTTTCCTCCCGAAGACAACTGCAGCGATGGTCTAAAATGGCCATCCCAAAGAGGATGACTCAGCTCGACTAAGATTTGTGCAGGAGGGAAGAAAGAGGTGGATAACATCTGAAGCAGGAGAACTGGGCAATATAACCAAATAAAAGTACCCCGGGATTAAGGTAACATAGAATTTTTAAGAAAAGAAAAGTGAGCAGTGAAATTACAAAGGGACAGAGAAAAAAAAGAAAAATATTTTTGACAGCTAAATGGGGCTTTGAACCAGGAAAGGAAGAAGCTGGAATTAAAGATTTAATGAAATTGGACTAAAATAATTTGAGAATAAACAAGTATAAAATTAAAGCTGGACTTAAGATTGTCAAAAAATAATAATAACAACGTTTACAAATTGGAGACTGGATTGTGTTGGAATATTGAGGTTCGAAAAACCTTAAATAAAAATATAGGGAAAAAAGTGAAGACTTTGTATAATGGAGAGTGTCACCTTTTGATAAAAATTTAGTTCAAATAAAAGGGAAAGCATCTTGTCTTTGAATGAACTGGTGTAGATATAACATTACAGAAATATTGAAACAAAGTAAGAATTCTAGAAAGTGAAAGCAGAACCAGAATAAAGGAGAAAGCAAGGAAGGAAAGACTGTTTGTGGGACTGATTGATGTTTTTGGTATAAACCCTGGACTGGAATAGCTGAGAACTTTAAAAAACTGAAAGAAGAAAGAAGAGTAAAAGTGGTTTCTTTTTGTGGACTTTAATGATTATAAAATATAAGAATGATGATATCTTTTCGGGAATTAAAAATGGAATTTAAAAATATGAGAGAACTACTACAGGAAAGAGGCGAATCACTTTGCTCTGTGCTAGAAAAAATGGAAATGGCGATTGAAGAACAAGAAGAAAGATTCTCAGAGGGGGAGGACTTGACTCAAGGAGAAAACATTTTAAATAGACAATTAACACAAAGAACACTACAAAGAAGTGGGGAAAGAAGGAAGGTTAAAAAGTTGAGTTTTAAGAAAGCAATTAAAAGAGGGAATAATTGTGAAGTCAGAAAAGGCAGGAAGATTCAGCAGAAAAGGAGAAAGGAAGATATTAAGAAAGAGACAAATTGGAATGAGAAAAGTTATGGGGGAAAAAGCCGGGGGAGAAGCAGTAAGAAACAGGCATGTGAAAGAAAGAAACACAGAACTAGTAAAATGCTGAAAAGAAATGGCTTTTTCGGAGATAATGGTTGATGAATTAAAGGGGATTCTGCAGGGTGACAAGGGGTAATAAGAATATCTCTGCAATTAAAAATATTTAGAAAATGGGTAATATAGAAACTGATAACTCTTATTAAAAGGGGGGAAATATGCTGTGGAATCCAATTGAAAAGATGTAATGACTAATGGTTTATTGGGAATTAAGATGAGGGAATGAAGGTATATTCTAATCATTAAGGTGTTACACTCAAAATAGTAAAAGAGGGGAAACTTATACTTGTTCTTTTTTCTTTTTGTGTGGGTGTGTTAAGATCTGTATTAATTTAGAATTCATAAAAAAAATGTGTAATGGAAGGGGAATATGACAGACTAAAGAACCAGCTAAACTAATAAGTTTAATATAGATTAATAAAAGCAAGGAGAGACATTGGTAACTTCATTATTACTGCTATTAGGCAAATATATATTGTTTATTTTTATTTTTAAAATAAATATTAAGGATTATATTTGAAATAATTGAAATGAAATAAAAAGATGTTTAGACTGAGATTAATGAAAGAATTTAGAATTAAACTTTATTATTATTTATTAGGCAAATACATATTGTTTATCTTTATGTTTAAAAACAAATACTAAAGGATTATTTTTGAAATAATTGAAATGAAACAAAATTGATTGAGATTAATGAAAGAGGCTAGAATTAATGTGTTTGTCTCTCTCCTTACTGAAAATCTGGAATGGAAAAGGTAATAATAGAATTAAGTATGCATATATCAATGTATAATTTCTGTCATATTTGTATGTAATGATGATGACCCAGAAATATGTTGTCCACTAAAAAGAGATTTTTGTTTTTAATGTGAAAAACTGAATAAAGTCTGTTAAAAAAAAAAGAAACTACTCTGAGTAAAGCATCATGTTGTTCTTGGTTTGTTGTACCTGACGTAGTGCCCCCAAGGCATCACTTCTCCATACATCCACTGGCCTCCACTCCCATCTTAGCTCAGTGCTAAGGAAGAGGGGAGAGGAACCAAGTTTTTATAGTCTTATGAATGCCCAAGATGGTAGTAAATCTTTGGATCTCAGGGAGGAAGCTGATCTGAAGGGTAGGGTCAGTTATGGAGAAGGTATGATTCACCAGACAACATTTAAGCAAAGACAGTGCCTACCCTATCTGTTATTTCATTTCATTTTACTTTTCCATCCTCCCCAGCAGATGCTGTGCAGCATATAATATCTAATGTTAAGTTTTAAAAAAATCATAGCCAAAACAAAATAGCCCACACTAAAAACAGACATTAAAAGTCATCCCAACAGAACCCCATTAAAGAGCTTTACAGGTGAAAACCAGCACCTTGAATTGCTTCTAGAAATTTATTGTGAGGTATCAAAGGTTGACAAGAGATCATGGAAGGTAGGATGGATGAGTATCCACATAGTGATGGATGAATCTACCACTAGTCATAAATAAACACAACCAAAGTATTGATTTTCTTGAAGACCACAGTAGAAAGACATTGTATGAAGGGTGTGTTCATGTGAGGTTTCACTTAACTAGGTTGCTTAGCAATGGAGTTACCAGTCCCAGTTGCAATTGTTAACCTAGGTCTACTATAGAATCTATACATACTGTATATACTGTAAAAAAAGCTGTTATATGGATTTAATAAGGAACTCAAACAAGAACTCTCTACTCTACTCTACTCTACTCTACTCTACTCTACTCTACTCTACT